ATAATAATGTTTCTTTATTAGCCCTATACAATTTCTTGCATTAGGAATTCATCTTTTCGCATACCCCAGCTTTTCTCCATGGAGACACAGACAGGGAGAGAAGCTTGGGGTCAGAGCGCAGGGTCTGCCATTGTACGACGCCCCTGGAGCAGCTGGGGTTAAGGGCCTTGCTCAGAGGCCCAATGGAGTAGGATTCCTCTGCCGGCCACGGGATTTGAACCGTCAACCTTCCAGTCCCAGGCACAGATCCTGAAACACAGAGCCACTGCTCCGCCCTAATTTGCAAGTATGCGTTGGTCAAGTAATGAGCTTTTTCCATCTCCCAGTTTAAGAACACAAGAAAGGCTTCATTGGGCCTAACTTGCCCTTTTGGTTGCCAATAATTAATTTATGCAAAGATCCCTTTTCTTTAACGAAGCTAGGGCATTGTCTTCAACAATATGGTTGAGTAGCTTTCTCCATACTCCCACAATCCTTTGACTTGACACATTCCAAATAACGTTTTCTTGCTTGCTCTGCTCCTTTAAACCTTTTCATCCTCATCTAGGGCACATCAAGTGCTCACAGAAGCTCACAGAAGATAAAAGTGCCATTTTATAACCTACTGTAGCTGAAGTTTCTGACATCTTGAAATCAGTAAAGACAAACAGTACTTTCTCCATGTGAATTAATTTACTAAATTTACTAAATTCACTGCAGTTCAAATGGAAAGCAAGCCAGCAGAAAAGACAACTAGCTGTACTTTCAATCACACATGCCATCCATATATTATCCATTGAGAAATGTTGTTTAAATACTAAGACATTCATTTTTTAGAGGTAACATTTTTCAAAAGCTAAACTTTTCCACAGTCGTGTCCTTAAAATACTGTAGCTCTAGAAGCATCACTCTTGTTTAATATTATAGTAAAATTGAGTTATATTGATTATATGGATTTTTATGGCCTCAAAAAATGAAAACACACTGTAGTTATGTTATCTATATTTAAGAGTGACATCATCTTGAAAAAACATATGGTCATATGGATACAATAGTTAAATTAAATTCTAAGTATTTATTTTAGCACTCTTCATGTGAGAAATAGTTGAAATACTAACTTTACCACTGATGTGAGTGTGGACTGCTGGCAAACAAAGGGTACCTGATATGTTTTGTCAAATGTACAAATATAGAGCATGCTGGATATGACAATAATTCTGAAAAGTCACTGAGGGGGAAAGATATATCAACAGTAAATTAAGCAGGAACTTAGGTGTGAGGCTGCTCTTTGTTTAGAATTTGATTGCTTTGGAAGGAAAGATCGTAACTTAAAAAAAACCTTGATAATAAGCTGCATTTAGTTTAGGTATTAGGACCACACCAAAATTAACATAAAATACCACACATTTAAAACATCAATACAGCTCATTAAAAATGAGCTGTGAGCATTAATGTGGTTAAGGTTAAAATAGAGACAGAGATAACTGAGTAATTGAGGAACAAAAAGTAGCCCCTACTTCTCCCCTCAAACTTACACCTGGCAGGTATTATTAAAATACACATGAAATATCAATACAGCTCAATTAAAACATATTTTTATTAACCGTTAAATAATGTGCATTTTGTACTCTGACTGACAGAACGATCTCAAGTGAGATACTTTTGTAATAAAGCAACACTCAGGAACAGAGCTGGTGATGCACGTGCAAGCTGGTGAACATCGAGCCGAGACGGGGCGGAGATCACAATTCAGAACTGAGGGGGTTTCCAAAAACTCAGAGTCCGACAGGTTCATAGCCGGGAAGGCGCAGAGTAGATAAAGTCCGACAAGGTTAGCAAGCAAAGCAAGAAGGCAAGAACAGCACAGCACAGCGCAGGTGACAGCACTCTTCAGGGAGAAAACTCACAATGACAGAGCGCTAGAGCTGGGGTAGCCAGTATTTAGAAATGATAGGCAAAGGCTCCTTAATTAGAAGCATGGGACACTGACAACCACCCATACCATGTGCAGACGGCCCCAGTAGTAATAACTGACCATGTGAAGACGAGGGGGTGTGAGCCGACATTGGCATGGGTATTACAACTTTTCTAATGAAACTAGACTCATCTCTGCCAAAATAATTGCTTTATAAGATATAACCTTATTTTCCTATACAAATATAACCTTATTTCCATACATAAGACACAAATAATACAAAATAAAATAAATACACATTTTGAACAATCTTAAAGTGTTGTTAACTGTCTCAGTCTTAGCCAAGTAAACAATACATATACACAAATCTGACTCTGCCCATATTACATGGCTTTTACACATAATCCGATCCGATAGGAAAAGTCACTTGTATTTAATGTTACATATATATATGTTTGTGTGTGTGTGTGGAATGCCTCTATGGCATAATTGTGATTTTGTTTTAAATTGGGTTAAATACTCATAAAAATCTATGATTCCAGTACCCGCAGAAGTGTTAATCTGTCCATGGGTGGGAAGTTAAAGCAGTATCTCATGACAAATTGAAGGTATGATTTACTGAGTGAAATTAAAAACATAAGACAGGTTTCAAACAAGAGGAAGTCAGCCACAAAAATCCAATGATTCCATCCATTTTCTATCCTCTTTATCCTCTACGGTGTCGTGGGAGAGCCGGAGTCTATACTTGACATTTCTTGCATTTCCATTAATGCCACAAAATTGTAAAAACAGTCAGAAAACGTTTTATGTAGCAGTAGAGCTAAAAAGGCGCTCATCATAGAAACCAGCAACAAACTGTGACAGTCAAGAAAAAGTATTTTATTCATTACAATTAAATTTTTTTGAAGTCCACAGGTGAGTCTCAACAATTTCAATAAAATGATTTTAAGTACAGAACCTCAAGCAAAAAATCAAGTCACTTCAAAAACTGATCTTAAGAATATTATGTCATCTGAGCAGACAGACTACAGGGTGTGATTAAGTGTTCACTAATTGTAGGTATTTTACAATTAATACTTCAGTAAGTAATAATTAATTTTACAATTAAAACTACATCAAGAATAGCTATCACAAAACACAAGATGAAAGAAAGTAGTACTTTAATCTATTTTGCATAATGGCATATAAAAATCAGTGAGTTCAGTCCCTTTTCTGAGAATTTTAATTTCCAGTAATCCTAAACACTGGAAAATAAAGGAAGTAGTCTTTATTTCCTTTCCTGATAGCAAATGAATGAAACAAACATAAAATAGCCGGTTTGTGCAATATAAAGAAATGCACATTGTTGGAACAACAGCAGAGGGAGACAAGACAAAAACAAAATAGCTTAAGAGAGGATGAAGAGGAAAAGCTGCATTAACTCAGATGTACAGTAGACAATATGACTTTATTATTGTCGATTTAACTCATTGACCAAATACATTTAGCTTTCTTTAATATGGTTTAAAAACCCAAACATGTTGCCTTGACTTAATTTATTCTGTAATTAACTTTGCCCAACAAGAATCTCTTTCAAATATTTTTCCAGAGATGATAATTTTTGTTGCTTTTCTGAACCAGGAGTAAAAAAAAGCATAAATAATGGGGTTACAAGCAGAGTTTAAATAGCCAAACCAGAATGTTGTGTCCATCAGAATAGGTGGCACAGTATACTCAAGAATAGGATAAGTGGAAATACAAACAAAAAAAGGAGTCCAGAGGAAAACAAACACCCCCACTACTATGCCTAAGGTTTTTGCAGCTTTTCTCTCCTGCTGACTTGAAATTTCACTCTTGTTCTCTCTAGCATCTTGAATTTGCTGTGTTATATCTTTGATAGACCTAGCCTGATGTCTGGCTACTAAATATATTTTAAAGTAAATTCCCAGCATGATAAATGCAGGAATGAAATATGAGAACAAAGAGGACAGAGGTCCAAAGAATTTACTGAAAAACACAATGCATCCTCCTACACAGTCAATATATTTGTAATAATATTCCTCAGTGCCTTTTATATTCAGCTTCAGTAAACCCACCGTAAAACCAAATATTCCTGACACTATCCAGCTGATTATGATCATCATAAGTATGACTTCAGATGTGATTTTGGTTTTGTAACTCAGAGGGTTACACACAGCAAAGTAACGGTCAATGGAGATGGAACACAAGTGGAATATGGAAGCTGTGGAGAGCATCATGTCAGTGGCCGTGTGTATTTGGCAAAACAAACTTCCCAGATACCAGCAACCTTCAATATAAAAAAACATTGTATAAGGCATGATGAGCACTCCCAACAAAAAATCACAAACTGCCAATGAGAGAATCAGATAATTTGTGTTGGTATGGAGTTGTCTGAAGTATGCAATTGAAATTATGACCACAAAGTTTCCACACAATGTTGTCAGTATTATTATTATCATAATAAAATACAATATAATTCGTAAGATAACTGGTTTGATTACTCTTGTACAGGAGCCAGCGATGGTTTCATAACAGAGTTGTATATCTGAATTCTCAGTAACATTGAAGTTCTGTCTGTTTGAGGAACCCATCTCTTCTACTGTGATGATCCCTGAAAAAAGGCATGGTACATTCAGAATTCCTACAAAATGAATGACGTTTTTAGTGAATTATTTTTTGTTTTCCATGTTTTTTTGCCACTATTTAAAAGAAGTAATTGATTATGAATTGAAAAGAAAAAATATCAAAGCATATTTTAATTAAATACTGTCATTCTTAATTACTAAAATACAGTTTTTATTTTTAATTAGAAAATCAGAATTAGAATTCAGAATCTGATTTAGAAATCAGGAGATCCTCTAGAAAGAGTCTGTCCCCAATAAAAAATAAAAATATAATTTTCAGGATGTTTTTAACTTTTTAACTTTTATGTGAAAGTGGCAAGGAAGAAGAAATTTTAAGAGGTGATCATTTACAATTTGCCTAAGTAAATAGTAGTAGTTTCTCTCTAAAACAAAAATGTTTTGGATTTCTGACAGTTGCTATCCAGAACTTTGCAATTAAAGTATTGTGTTTTTCAAAATTTGACAAGTAACTCTCCTATGATCATGCTAACTAACAAATATGTTCAAGATAAAGCTGTAATTTGGAATAATTTGAAATTTCCATCTTCATATTTCTATTATTGTTGCCTTTATATTGTAATTTACTGTTTCATATCATAAGCTATGATATACGTTTGGAATCTGTTCAGGTAGAACCACTAATTTTGTTAGTTGAAAAATATATTTATTTTAAACACTTACCCTCAGTATTACCTTTTGATGAGCTGTTGAATTTCTTGTGTTCAGATCTTTATAAATGTTCACAGTGTGCTAATGGTTCCCCTAGGTGTATTCAATATAAATATAAAGCAATTTTATATTTAAAATAGTTTAACACTATTTCATGTGTTATTACATATTTTCATAGATTATTGATGATTTTTGCTCATTCCAGGAGTTGCACTCAGTATGAACTTCCTGGTCCTTCTGTTTTTTAACTTAAGTCTCCATTTTGAAAAACCATGCCTATGAGATTCCTTGTGTGACGGGATTTTCTACACAACCAATACATATTCTACTGGATTACAAGGGGAAAACATAGCGATTGGCCTTGTTATATTTTTTATTTATATATTTAGTTATGTATTTTTGTTAGACCTCTTATACCAAGCTTTATTATCTATAATTATTGGGAATTTCACTGTGGAATTGAATTTGATATACATTCTGTTTCCAAAAGTTCTAAAAATTAAATTATTCACTTTCTTTGGTGAGAGCCTCTGATTCTCTAATTTGATGTTATCGTGTCCTGTCCTGTTGATATTATGTGGAGCTCTCTACATTGTAGATACTGTGTACGATCCCCCTTTTATTGGGTAGCATGGCCAGGGGGTTTCCACATAAACTGTAACTGTATCTTCCCTGGACAGCAGTGGCAATAACCTCTCTCAGTCGATTCCAGTTGACCAAGTACGCTCATTAACCGTCCTTTTATTTACCATTCTCCCAACCCAGAAAACAACTGAGGCTGCTAACAATTTTATCCCATTATAAGTCCTCTCTGACCTGTAGTGCTTAACAAAAGCGTTGTCTCTGAATTGCCTCTTTGAAAACACACTGTCTTACTAAACCATGATTGTCCGTGAAAAGGCAATCTCTGACTGCCCTAGGATCTGCTTTTATAGGGAGCTAAAGTGATTTCTCCATGAGAGTCCGAAGAATGTGATTCTCCTAAATGAGATGACCCCACCCATGTTTCCAACCGTTGCTTTGCTACAGATACATACTTCTAGCACTGGGTGGAGTTGGAGAGTTAGGGGTTCTTTGGTAGACATTTGGAGGGGAGCTCCCATGACAGATTGTGAATTGGGAGGACGAAGTTGCTTTGTAGCGAGAAAGATATATTATGCTCTGTTTTCGAAAAGCTTTAAATCAATAACAATTTTTCATGAAAATAAATAATGGTCCTGTTCTTTTTGCAATTGCCAAATATTTCAGAATGATGCTTTATTTTTCATACAGTATATTCATGTAATGAATAAAAGATGTTTTTTTACAAAAGTACAGTGAAATGAGTGATCATAAAATGCAGAACTCTAGCAGGCAGAAATAGTGAGAGATCAAAATTCATATGAACCAGGTAGTTATGTTCATATTGAGGTATAAGAGGGTTAGTTTTAATTAAAGAATACTAAGGGAGCAGGGGTTAATTTTTTAGTCAGGAATTTTAGGAGATTAGAAAAGTAACGTATTAACTTCCATGCAGACTCTGTGTTCTGGGCATACCCCCAGGCTCCATGGTATGCAACACCACTCCCTTTATTACTACCTTCCTGTCTTTTGAACTCCCGTTTACTAAGCTTGTTCATTTGGCAACACTTTTTCTCTGATGAAAGTTTTGCAAAAAAATCCCATTGTCTCTCGCATGCCGCTCGGAAGCAACCTGAAACTTTCTAGGAATTGTTAGTAAGTCAGAGAGTGAGAGTCTTGGGTTATCCCCTGTTCCAGGGAAGTGACCGGTCAGGTTTTAAAGGGAAGGTTTTCCTCAGGGCGGTGGCCCTGGGAAAATTGTATTGTAAAAAAAAGGGGGTGCCCAGGGTGCAGTAAAACCAACTGGGTTAGTTGGTACACAGTTGCGGTAAACCCAGCAGGATGAGCTGGTGCACGGAGAAACTTGTAGAGGTCTCCGATTGGGTATTGGAGAAGAAAAGGCTCAGATCATTTATGGAGAAGCTAAAAAAGAAACTTGAGTTATCAGATGGCGCTTGGTCTGAACAGGAGTGCAGGAAGGTGTATGAGCAGCAGTTTAAGGACAAACAGACAGATATTGGAATGATTTTAGGGAAACATTTAAGGATACAGCAGAAATGACTGACTGGGATAAGCAAACATATGATCTAAAAGGGAGGCTGACAGCAGTAGCAGAGCGTAAAGATGTGGTGAATAAGTTGTGAAGTGATTTGGAGGAAGAAGTTAAGACATTAAGGATGGAAAATGATAAGTTCAAGAAGGAGTTGAGTAAGTGTAAAAATGAGAAAGCAAAGGATAAACGAGTACGGCGCTTATACCCTGATACTAGCCGTGGGAAAGGAGACGAATGGGATGGAGGCTTGTCTCCAGAGCTGCCTGGGTGGCCTGGGGATCCCGGAGAACCCCAGTCCCACAGGGATGATTGGGACTGGAGGGATCGTGATGAACCCCCTCCTGGCTTATTCCCCATAAGAGACAAGGGTAAAAGGCAACATGAGGGACCTGATAATGGAACTTTGGGTAGTGAGGGTGAGGAGGAGCCGGACCCCTCCTTCCCAGGTAACCCTGTTACAGTCCTGATAGCAGTGCAAAGACAGAGTCCCTAAACCAGAGGATATTGATAGGTGGGCAGAAGAAGTGCCCCACCCCAAATCTGGAATGCAACAGACTTGGAGAGCATTGCAGGAGCTGAAAGATACTTATGGAATAACACTCCTGGACGTCAATCAGGTAATGTGCCGCGCTGGTGAGCAGAAGGAAGGGGAATTAAGAGAAAGGCTACTTTGATTACACTGGTGTGTCATTATTTTAAGAGACAAGGCCACTTTAAGAAGGATTGCAGGAAGCGTAAACAAGACGAGGAGAGCAAGGATCCACCCTATGACCCATCCGATAAGGAAGGGCAGAGAAGTCTGATTTCTCAACTAAAAGACCTCTCTGAGGAGAACAAGTGAGCTTTGAGGGACTTGTTAAACTAGAATGCCCCCTTGTGGCTTCCCTAAGCTTATCCCAGTGACAGTGTAAAGATAAACGATGTGAGATCGCTGTAAGGGGGTTTCAGGGGGTGTAGTCGAATGTACTGCAAAATATCAGGTTCAGGTTCCTGAAATGAATTGAAATGAAAGTGTACTATTAATAGGACGTCTGCCTCTCTGCTATGGGACACTGGCGCTCAACTGTCATGTTTATCTCGTTATACTGCCCAGTGTTGTCAGGTGGGGTATACAGGGGGGTGGCAGGAGGCCACAGGACTAGGGGGACAGTGAGGTGTACTACTAGAAACCAAAGATCTTAAGACTTAGGAGGGGACATACAGTTTGTCACCTGACTGCGGGTGGGTTCAACCCATGACCTACTGGGCTGGGACGCCCTATAATATTTACAAGGAATTACTCTAACCGTACAAGATAGCATGGTGCAAATTAACATTTGGTCTCTGCAAAAGGATAAGATCAAGGATAATCCTATATAGGCTAAAGACAAAGATGAATGTGGGCTGTTAGATATGGAACCTGTTACATTTCTCGGAATATCTCCCCCATGTACAGACCCCTATCCCATGCGAAAGGAAGTGGAGGAGGGGGTGCAACCAGTAGTACAGAAGCTTTTAGAGCAAGGAATAATTTAGAGCAAGGAATAATTCGGAGGACTAACAGCGCAAGCAACAGACCCATCTTGCCAGTTAAGAACGCCAGTGGAGCCTGGAGTTTTATGATGGACTATAAAGTAGCTAATCACTATATCAACAAGTTAACCCCTTTGGTCGCAGACCCCTCCACCACATTCCACTTGTTGCAGCCGAACCATGCTGTTTTTTCGGTCATAGATATGGCGAATGGTTTCTGGTCTGAACCCCTGCACCCCGAAGTACAGTATTGGTTTGCTTTTATTGTCAATGGGAAACAGTACACTTGAACTAGGCTAACTCAAGGGTTTCATAACAGCCCAGCTGTGTACCATGTAGCTGTGCAACATCTGTGAGAATTACCCACACTGATCTCAGTAGTTATTTAGTATGTGGATGATATATTGGTTGAGGATCATCTATTAGATCACAGTTGTGAGCAATGGGTGATTGGAGAAGACTAACGTAGCTGAGCATCCCCTTGGAAATGAGGATCTAGTGTGATTTACTGAAGGATCCTCCGTGGTGCATGAGGGGGAGCAGAGAGCAGGTTGGGCAGTTACGTTAGAATTTGATGTGTTGACCACCGTGAGTTTGCCTCCTACTTCCTCAGCACAACAAGAAGAGTTGAAAGCTTTAGTTGAGGCCTATAAACATGCCAAAGTAAATATTT